TAGTATATAGTACTATTTAAATAAGTAGAAATAAGTATAAGTTAAGCTAAACTTATTCCTACTCTATATATTTTATATAATATGTGACCGTGTGGAGTGAACCACTGCTTGCTGTGATGAATACGGAGTCAAACGGAAACTGCTATATAGAGCGAACGACTAAGTGAGGAAGGAAGAGAGTGTCACGAATCACGTGTTCACGTGATAAGAGAAGACCAGGCGACGTCCTGAAAGATCAAGCACTATCAGTACTCTTATAGCAAATAGGGACGCTTGGGCTAGCTAAGCGATCCAGGGATTTCATTCGGTTAGTATCACGTGACAGGGTCACATGATCGTTGGAGCTTGCAGGAGCTTGCGTTGGAGCTTGAGGATCTTGGGCTCCCCGTAGGCTCCACGAGAACGAAGGTTCTATATAAGACTGGCACTTCTGCCTTTAGATAGGAGCTTCGTGCTCAACTTAGTTATCAATCTTATCATATTAGTTTGACATCTTTGATACAAGTAACGAGTTCACTTCCAAGTGAACAACCCGATAGTCTTCTTCTTATCATAGCATACCAACCAGCGAACACCCAGCCAAGTTTAGTTAGCCAGTTTGAGTATTCGTTACAGAGAGTTCCAGAGGAACAGAAGCTTATATACAGGCTGCCAGCAGCACGCACGTGCCGTGCTGCTACACGTGATCTGCCCCCAATTCCTCCAACTCCGTAACATAATATATTAAGCTCTATTATAAGCTTTAATTATAGTAAAGGAATAGAGCTAGAGTTCGAATAGTATAATAACAAAGATAATAGAGATATTATCTTTATAGATAAGACTAGATATTATACTAATCCTTATACTAGGGTACTAGGAAATAAAATAAGAGATTAAATTACTACTACTATATAGGAGGTAGAGTTAGAAAGAAGAGCTAGATATAGATAACCTATATATATTCTTAGTATTATTATATTACTATAACTATTTTCTAATAAGGTACTAGAAGCGAGCTATAATATAACGTTACTTTACCCCTCGGTTTTCTTAGTTAAAAGTAGTCTAATTTACTTAGTTTTTTATTATTTAAAAGGTATAAATTTAAATATTAATTCCTAATATTATAATAAAGTAGAATATAAAAGTTATAATTATTAACGGCTCGCTTATTAGTCATAGTAACTTATAGCTAAGTTTTATAAAATAGTAGAATTATTATTATTAATTAAGTATAAAAATATAATAAATAAAACTTCTACTTCTAAACCTCTCTAAGGTTTATCTAAATCTAATTTTAATACTTTTCTTAGCCTTATAATAAGTTAGTCTAAATAACCCTCTAGTAAATCCGCTAGTATATAGACTATAAGTATATCTATAATCTAAGCTATTTATAGGTTTTTATTACTATCTTTTATTAATAGATATTCTATTATAAACTCTAAAACTTAAAAGACCTTTATAATAATAAGTAATTCTTAATTAGTACAAAAGCGCTTATTCTATACTTTTATAAGAGCTTGTTTATATAAAGCCTTATTTCGTATAAGTTATTCTCTAATTATTTATCTAATAGTATTTTAAAGGACTAAGCTATTCGAGTAATACTCTAGCTTATATTATTAAGACTCTTAGAACCTACAGGTTTTAATCGTTTACTTAATAGTAGATCTCTTAATAAACTACGCTTATTTACCCTCTAGGATTTAGAGGTATTTATAGATTAGATAACCTCTTATTATATATTTAACTATAGTTCCTTAAATAGATCTTTATCCTTATCCTTTAATCCTTTATTCTTACTTAACTTTTTAGGCTTCTTTTACTTTTAAGCCTTACTATCCTTACTACTATAGTATACCTTATATATATCTACTTCGACGCTTAATTATTATACTTGTTCTATAGTAATAGAGTTACCTACGTTCTTTATATAATTAAGAGTAGAATTAACTATAAAACCTACTTATTTAAGTATTAAATTATCTAGAGTTTTAGGATCTATAGTATTAGAATTAGTAAAATTATTAGAATTGTCTAAGTCCTCTAAATCTTTATAATCGGTATTAGGGTATCCTTACGTATATCTATATTTACTACTAGTAACCTTTTTCTTATTAAGCTTAATAAGGGTATAATAATAAGGAAAACTCTTCTTCTACTATAGTTTTACCTTTAGGTATTTCTATAATTATATTAGATTATTTACTATAATATAATTAGTCTAGATAAGTATATCCGTAGTAGTAATAGAGCGTTCGTCGTCTTACCTAAAACTAGAATTCTTATAGATTATTTACTATAATATAATTAGTCTAGATAAGTATATCCGTAGTAGTAATAGAGCGTTCATCGTCTTACCTAAAACTAGAATTCTTATAGATTATATATATATAACCTTAAAGTCCTTTTATAAGCTACTATATTTAGATTAGTAAGTACGTCCTTGTTTATATAGAGTATATCGGTTTCTTTATATCTTCTATATCCGTTTAGGAAAGTTACCCTTACTAACTTCGCCGTCTTCTCGCTTCTCTTATATAAACTCTAGGAACTTAAAAATAGCCTCTCTTTTATAAGTCTATAGCTTATAATACTTACGTTTAGGTAGGTTATGTGACGACACGCACAGCTGATGGACCGCGCAAGAGCACGACTACGTCAGGTATCACGAGTGGTGAGATTGACACTGTGGAACTGTCTATTCGAGGATTCTAAGCTAAGGAGAGAAGAGAAGAGAGCAGAGCTCGGGAGCCAGAGGTTCTTATATACAGGAGGTTGTGCCAAGCTATGGCTAACTGAGCCGGGCTCAGGAAGCACGGTATCCGCTGGGTTCCAGCCAGGAGCTGGTCTGAGGTGTAGTGGCGGTTAGAACCGTCACAGGTTACGCTAAAGGTAGACTTTCTAATAAGTCCTAGGTAGTAGAGTCCTAGGAAGTAGAGTCCTAGGTAGTAGAGTCCTTAGACAAACCACCTAGTAGTATAAGATTCTAGGTCTTCTTTTTTCGTACTATATTATATATATATAAAAGTAAAAGAATTAAAAGAGTTAAAAGAGAAAGAAAAGATAAAAGAAGTATAATTACTTGGTTAAGTACTTAGTTAGATAAAACTAACTAAATCGTAGTATAGTACTAAAAATTAGTAGTTTAGATAGATCCTACAAAAATCGATAGATATATAACAAAACGAAAAAAAACTTTTACACTAGCCAAACAGTGGTACATTTGTTTTATTATAATAGTCTAATTTACATACAATTTAGGAAACTTTTGCATGAGCCCTTAGGGTCCTCCGGCCCGTGCAAATCTTCGACTTTTGCACCTGATTTGCATAGAGAGATTTGCGTAGCCAAACATGCCCTTATCCTGTATCATCAATAAAAATTTCAAAATTATTCCATTGCTTGATGTACTAAATCAATCAAAGCACTCACTTAGCAAATAGTGGAAATTAAATAGGCAACCATTGACGCAACTCCTAGGAAGAAACGCCGTCATTATCTTTCGGCAATCACAATACTAATAAGCCTCAGAACCAAACTTCAGTTAGTACGATTTTGCATAAACACGTCATTACGGAATGTTATCGTAATTACTATAAAGGAACTTTGAAACTACTGGAGGCGGCTGAATACTAAAAGTTCGCCGGGTTGTCGCCTGTCGCAATCGGGTCTGCACTACTAAGTAAGATATCTCCCTAGGTAGACTACACGAATCGAGAAGCTAAAATTAGCCTTCAGAAATATATACGTGCCTACTGCCCCAAGAAAGGAAAACATCAAATATGCATATAACCTCAAACACGACCTCGTCCTCAACTACTTCTGGCTTCCAGAACTCACTACTCTTCTCACCTCTCACCTACGAAGAACATCCATACTATCACACAAACCCGCATACAGACTCTCGCAATCCAAAATTTCCGATAGCCAAAATGTCTTTTAGATTGCCTTTCAAGTTCCGTGTCAACAGATACGGTTTCGAATTCGTCAAATACACTTCCTTGCCGTCACATACAAAACATCTGGTACTCGTCGCTCGTCCAGCTTTCAAATGTGAATACTGCTTTCGTCCTATATACACTCCTGTGCACCAAGTTGCACTGCGATTCACGGGAATATTCACCTTCACATCCTTGGCACTTCGCGCCAGATACGATTACGAATAAAGGCAGAGCATGTCTAACGGATTCCTGACAAAGTTGATTGAGAAGCAGGATAAGATTAAGAAACAGATTGCGAAGTACATAAGATATGAATGATGGGCTTGTGTATTACTCTAGAAGTTTCCATACAATAATGCATTGTGTAAACTAATCATATGTCCGTTTCCCTTCTGGCTTTGAGTTTGGAAGAAAAGATGTGACCCATATCTAATAACACCCGTACTTGTATTTATAGCACCCTCGCCAAATTCTCTTGGAAGGAGTGGTTGGCTTTATGAATTTCATAAATGGGTAAGACGACATTTGCGTAAGAGACGAATCTATAACTCCAGACATACCTTAAGAATCCGTCACATGAGAATTTGTAATATAATCCACTTGATTGTCTTAAGTGACTTAGGTTAATAAAGATAAATTGATTCTAATTGTCCTAAATCGCTCGTATAACTATCTCAGTTGTGCGAGACTTTTAGGAAAATGTTTTTCTACCCTAGGTACGGTGTGTACCGAATAATGACCGCCTCTCTTACCTAATCCTTCTGGTCTGCTATCAATTTCACTTTGGAGTGGAAAAGAATAAAAATGTATTTTTATACTTAGTTTACTCGAATTACTAGTAAAATTATCGAGTTAGTAGCTCTATTGATTAGGTAGATCTCGTTTATTATTTTGGTGGCGGGTTAGTTGGTATAAGCGAGGACGCCATGGGTTCTAGATAACATCTCTCTAAGGAGAGATCTGAGGTCCAACCCCACCCAAGAGTATCATAAGATGCAGCAACCTTTCAAGAAGAAAAAGCCTAATCTTTAGAATCGAACTTAAAGTCTTGAGCAGATGTAAGGATGCATTTTATGCCTTCTGCGGTTTCTTGGCGATGACATTGTAGTCTGGTAGTAGAGGGGTTAGTATCAACAGTATCAACATCACATTGAGACCGAGATGAACAATCTGACTTGGGAATTTGGGAAATGAAAAGTTGAAAAATGTGGCAGAGATTTACGAGTATCATCGAAAGCTTGGCCACAAACCAGGCCAGTAGGAGTCGCGCACTTGGCCAAAATGTCATCAGCATAGGAAGCGATATATTTTGCGTCTGGCCAGAGGTCAAAGTCATTCTGTAAGGCGTTAGTAATCCAAATTCCTCGCAGTCTTTCTTGAAATGGAAGAAAGCGGCAATTTCTCCCTCCAAGATCTCACGGAATAGACAAAAAAGAGAAAGGGAAAGACGAACATCGTTGCAGAGAACTATCTCTCCGCTGGTACCATCGGTCCAAATTTGCTTTCAAGCCTGTCCTTGAATAGGTAATCTGTTTTGTTTTTTTAGATGGGCACTTCTTTGCATGATAAGGAAGGAGAATGTTGGGTCCCAATGTTGGTTGCTGTCGGCACAACAAGTCACTCCTGACTAGTAAATTTGTATGAGTTAGTTGCAGTAAACGAAGACTAACGAGAAACTAAGAGGCAGCTCGGATGGATTTGAGAAACAATTACGTCTCACAGTTTTCTGGGTTGTAAGAAGTGGCTCCCAGAAAAACTGGGGAAAATCTTGAACTGAATAAAAGATGGATTTGATGAGTACACTTACTTTGTTACGTTTCTTGAGACTAGGGGTGATCTGATGGAGTCTTATCTGTATGAATTTCGGTTAATAACACCCGCACAATTCGTGAGCTCGTCCTGGTGATAGCAGAAGGCGGGAGGAACGGTGGCTTACATTATTTCGACCTTTTATTTCAACAGTATATGTAACGGGTGTTCCAAAAGACTATAATCAATTAGGTAACGGTCTTGGATTTGAAGTTTTCGAGGTCAAACGGTGACTCACGGTGGTCAAGAGATGGAGGAGAACGAGAAGATAAATTGTGGCATTCATTTCTGCTACTTTGAATCGTGAACCGAGTGTAAGGGGAGTTCTTGGGGGATACAAGGAGTGTTATGCTTCGTGGTCCTCAAATTGGGAGTTTGTATATTGGCATTGAGTTGTAATTTTGTAAGAATTGAAGAATGCAAAGAGCTTGCGGGAAATGGTTAGGCGGCATATAAATATTTGGAAAGAATTAGTGATTCGCAATTCACAGGAACACCGAACAATATTTGACAGATGAATCATATTATGGACTTGACATCAGGTTCGAATGAGATGATTTAGGGTAAATAGCGTGAATAGCTTAAAGACTTCTCACTTGGATCAGGCGATAGGCTCTGAAGGTTGGTTCACTCCCGTCCCTTCGCTTGTGGGCGAAAAAGAGTACCGATATCCTTTCTCAAAACGAGGAAATCACACCACAAAGTTGAATACGACATTCAAGTCCAGTTTCATTGAATTTTAGCAGGGTACAGTGTTTAATTGGAACCAGTAAAGCTTTGGAGGTTGTTATTCTGAAGATGAAGCACAAACGTTTCGATGAGCACTTACCGCCAGCTTCGGAGGGTTCTACCTCGCTGTTATTTGATTTGAAAGGCCATAGATATTTCTCCAGTGTAATGAAAGCACAGACATCAGGAACTCATTCATCTTTTTGAAAACCAGATCGTAAGACGAAGGATCATTGGCGTCGGATTTCCATTTTAGTAAATGAACGAAAGAATAAAAAATAACAGACACCTGTTCTGTTCTAATTGACCGATTTTAATTCAGAGAGTCGGGTTATAGTCAATGATGACTAATAGCAGCTCAACTGACAGTGGGGCAGTCTTGTACGTAGATATCAAGTTTATCCGTTTAGAGCATACAGGTGATAATTTTGGAAGTGGCATACTTTTTTGCGCTAGCAAAGAAAAAGAAAGGGTATCTCTGAGTTTTCAATGGGCTCAAGTGAGCCAGCCACCTACGTGCTCCACTACACTCACTAATATACAAACTATATTGAGCTATGACTAACATATCAATTACCAATTGTTAGATAGAAAGGAGTGATTCTAGACTTTTCGTTCTGCCAGAAGATTTTCTATACTTGAATTGAATATTAACACATGTAAGTCGGATTCGACATTCAAGCGATTCATTCCTTGATTCACCATTTGTATCTAGTATTCAATTCCTCTCTTTTTGAGATAGCACCTGTCACAAATTTTGAGCCAAAAAGCTAGAGTTTGACATTACCCTACTTCGTAACGACTTATAAATGTGGGAGATGCGGTCATTACTTTGAACACACCACACACCTAGGTTAGAATAAAATCATTCTAAAAGCCTCATCCAACTAAAATGATTGTACGAGCGGTTTGTCATAATACAAATCAATATTTCTTTCTTACTTGAGTTGTATAGGTCAAATAAACTGATTCTTTGTTTATCGGTATAAAGTAATGGATAAGCCTCTTATAGATAAGGAAGGTAACTTTGTTTACTCTTGTATGGGTCAGAAACTGTTCAAATTTACGATTTGGAATAAAACAGGAGCGAGAGACTGCAACTGCAAGGGGCATACTTTGTAGAAAACGAAAACCCCATCTACCTTTTAATAGAAACGAAAATACTATTACCCAAAAGCAATACTACAACCCGTCAAAGTAGTATAATACCTCTTCATATTATTACGATCAATATACTTTTGTAGCTCACGCATGATAATCAAAAGACTTTCTATGAATAGGATTTGTGGGAAGCTCTCCACGTCCTAGTCCACCAAAGTTCAGCGAGGGAAAGCATGATATGAGGTTAGAATGATTGGAGAAGCTCGATGAGAGCTCTATCTGGTACCCGGTACAAATGCAGTCTGAAGAGGAATATCTTCAAGAAAATGCCTGAATCCTAACCCTAGCCCTCCTGGCGTTTTTTTAGTCCGAAACTATAGAGAGACTCATGGAAATTACTGAATCAGAAAGAAGGGCTTGCTCGCAATCGGCCAAAGAACTGATCACGCAAGGAAATGTTCCAAATCATGAATGCAAGAAAACATTCAGAAATGAAACCTGAGAAGTTAAAATGCAGGAGCCGTCGGCTAAATATTTATCCCCCCGAAGTCATGACAGCCTGAAACAAAGTCAAGGCAACAAGGCTTCCATTCTCATCCACTGTTATCGCTTCATTGTTTGGCTTTGTATATGGTGCTGCAAAGAGATTTCTAGATACGTCGCGATGAACTGGAAAGAGTATATTCTGGTGGTATAAGAAAGGGTGATATCTGCCCGGAGTTGAGAGGCAGAAAAAAAATACAAGCAACCTTTCGTTTTCCAAAAGTGGTGATTCACCATTCATTCCTCCTAACCAACACCACAATTCTTGCAAGGGCGATATCAAAATACCAATACCACTCAAGATGGGCGATCGCACAGCATTTTTCTATGGTTAGTAATTCTTCTCTCACAGGTCTCAGCTGTCAGCTAACAAATATACAGGCACTTTGGTACAGATTTCACCCCACCTTATATTTTACGCATACTAACCTCCTACATAGATGGCCAAAGAAATCCTCTATCGAGTCTGTTTTGGCGACGCCAAAGCCGACCAAGATTCCGTCTACTCCATCCGCACCTCACAAATCACCATCGTCCCAGCCATCCTCCACGATTACCAACGACACAAAGTCATTGGCTGCCAGTACCCAGGTATTAGACAGCAGAAGGGACAAGAGGTGCGGGGTACTTATGTCACGGGCTTGACAGATGCGGATGTCTTTCGTTTAGACAGGTTTGAGGGAAATCAGTATGATCGAGAAGACGTCAAAGTTCGACTTTTGAACAAAGACGGCAGTGAAGGGGATGAGGAACACCGGGCTGAGACTTATGTTTTCAAGTATGAGGAGGAGCTTGAGAAGGAGGAATGGTGTTATGAGGAGTTTCGGAGGGAGAAGTTGAAGAATTGGGTTGGGAGCTCGAGTGTTGAGTATGATGGTGAGTTTCGAGCTAGTCGAGGAGAGGGAATCCTGTGCTAATTTCCAAATAGAAGTTGATAACGCTGCTGCTATCAATGCTAAAGCCGCAGAAGCTGCCAAAGCTGGGGTTTAGAAAGTTCGTTAGCTGTCACACGTCAGAGTTTCGTATTCCACAAGAAATGAGGAGTATCTGGTATTTTGGATGAATTTTGCGATTGATCTGTCATTGTTTCAGGAAGAATACAAGGTATCCATAGATTTTGGATAGAGGGGCATACATATGGAGCATCAATAGAAGAGAAAAAAACATTTTTGTCATCTTGACTCACAAAATTGTAATGTTTCCACTCAAGTCTGCAAACTCCACAAGTCTCTTATAATTTTCAGAAAAAGATGGGGAAGACTCGAGGTTCTTGTTGGCACCACAGGGAAAACTCGGGTTGACGCCCACTTGATGCAGGCACAGGGAACCTTTACCAGCGCAGTGCAACACTGAACTGATCCAACCTCGCCAACATCGCATATGATCCACGAGGGCCAGTAAAACGGCTACGCAAAAGGTCCGACAAGGTCACACCTTTCACGACCTCCGTTTAGAAAAGAAACTGTTTCCTTGGAAATTCCCCAGTGGAAACCTAGTGAACTGAGCTGTGACTTGCATTCGTGCATCTTTTTCGCCACGAACGACCAATCCCAGGGATGTACCCCACCAAACGCGAAGACCGAAACATGCGAGCGATCACGAGAAGGCTGATTCTTCGAAGGGGTCCAAAAGTCTAGATGACGTTTCCGCACGAGAGCAGCTGAACATGGCACATTTACAGAGGTTTAATGATGGGATGAACTGTTTTCTGCTATATTTGTTCCGGTATCTTATGCACATTTCTGACTCGAGATAGTCTGAGCACCTCCGGGGTACTCACTCATGGGCCAAGCTTTACTAGTATGATCTGCATCCTCGCCGCAGATGGAGGGAGTATTCAGTCGGGTAGTTTTAGCGACACTAGTCCGGTCACATAGGCGCTAGAGTAGTTTTAAGGTCCGACAGTCGGATTCTTTAATCTACACCTTATTCCTACTTTATAACCCTACCTTTATTTAGTAGAGTAGCTAGTAAGATCCGCCTTATTCGGATACTAAGGCTTCTATTAAAGCTATTTATAGATTTAACTATATCGTACTATTATTATTAGTTAAATCCTTGTTTTTAAACCTTATAAAGCTTATCTTTAACCTTAGAGTCTTACGACCTCCGTAGCTATTATCTATTATACTATATATTAATACTATTATACTATATTAAAAGAACGATCCTTAGATCTCTTTTAACTATTCTATAATTAATTCTAAAAGGTCTTAAGTTTAAACCTTATCTTTCAACGCTAAATAACCTTATTTTAGACTATAAGGCCTTATACTATAGTCCGCCCTCGGAGTTTTAACTTTCGGACTTTCTGAAGAAGGTACTATAGTTCTATACTTAGTAAAGTTAAAGTATAATACTACTACTTCGAACCTCTTAAACCTAATACTATATAATACCTTTAAGTCTTCGGACGCTACTCGTCTAGAAGATATACCTCTTCTAAAGTAGCTTTATTATCGAAATCCTAAGATTAATTACCCTAATTATTATTATTATTCTCCGGATCGAAAGACTTAGTTTTATCTATAGGCTACCTTATAGCCAGACTAAGAGACGAACTAGAGACTACTCCTCCGATACTACTAAGCTACGTTTATATACCTATAGTACCGGTACCTAAATTAGTAGTATTGCTCTTAATACTATTAACTCTTAATTTAGAACTCTATTACGCTCTTTCGACTACTCGGATAACTACTTATTAAGCGGAATTTCTAATTATATCTCTAATCTTCTTTAACCTTATAGCCCCTCGGCTACCTATATATAAGATATATAGGAAGTTTAAGGGTAACGATAGCGCTATACGCTAGCTTACTAGATTATAATACGATTTTAAGGCTATAAACTATTTGTAACGAATACTCAAACTGGCTAACTAAACTTGGCTGGGTGTTCGCTGGTTGGTATGCTATGATAAGAAGAAGACTATTGGGTTGTTCACTTGGAAGTGAACTCGTTACTTGTATCAAAGATGTCAAACTAATATGATAAGATTGATAAGTTGAGCACGAAGCTCCTATCTAATGGCAGACGTGCCAGTCTTATATAGAACCTTCTTGCTCGTTGATCATTATGATCACCCTGATCCCACTGATCCAGCTCAGCGTTGCTCAGTTGATCACCAATGATCAATGACGGTCACATGACTTCTATCAGATGAAATCCCTGGATCGCTTAGCTAGCCTAAGCATCCCTATTTGCTATAAGAGTGTGTTGCTGGTGCTTAACCTGTCAGGACGCCGCCTGGTCTTTGCTTATCACATGCCAACACGTGATTCGTGACACTATTCTAAGTAACCCCGTAAATATTTTTCGGGGTTATTAATATCCTACTTAATAGTTTTATAGCTATATAGCTAGATTCCGAACCTAAGTTTAGAGCTATTATTAATAAAAAAGAGACCGCTACTAAGGAGTAGGTTATACTATTTAAATAAGCCTTTGAGGCCGAATACCTAACTATAGTCTTCGATATTACTAAGACTAATGTTTAATACAATATTTAAAACCTGTTCTAAGATAAAGAAAAGTCCTTATCTATATACTATTAGTATACTATAGTCCTACTCCGTCGAGCTTATAATAAGAACACCGGTAGGCTAGCTATAAGTCCTATAATTAGCTCTATTAAGAAGATTATACTTAATAATATTATCGCAGCCATTATCGAAGGACTTGTGAGAGGCCAGACCTCGAATAGCTCAAAGGTGTGGTTTCGAATATTCAATTAAGAAGTGCGTGAAGACTACATACATGCGAGCTCTTCCTCTATATATAGAGATGAAGAGCTTCCTGAATATTCCAAGAAACTTGCAAGAAACTTGAATGACGAATACATGATGTCAGAAGAACAAAACAAGAAAGTGTGGAAAAGTAGAAACATGTATGGCAGTGGGGTAATGGCCAGTGCTAAGCAGGGACTTTGGTCAGTGCTCAACGAGGACTTTGGTCAGTGCTTAGCGAGGGCGTGGCCCGAGCCTCCATCATGGGTTCCAACCCTCACAGGACTTTATAATAGTAAGTTATAGTATATAGCTCTTTAAAAGTCTATATTATCTTATAGTACCTTATAGAAGGCCTTAGACCTAGTTAAAGACGCCTAAACTATACTAAAGACTACGAAGAAGATAAAAGAGCGCTATAATAAGAAGATTAAGTTAGAAAAGCTAAGATAACTCTACTAAAAGTAATATGGTATATCGGCCTCTACTCTACTAGCTAAGCTTAACGCTAGCTAAATTATGATTCCGATTACTACAAAAAAGAAAGCCTGTACTCTAAAGGCTACTTTAACCTTAATTCCGGTTAAACTAAATAGAAATACTTAGCCTTTAGGTTAAACTATATTAAGAGCTCTACTCTAGGATACTAATAATACTTAAAACACCTAACCTTAGAAGTCTAACTATATATCTAGAAGCTAGAGAAATAAAGTAAATAATATCTATAATAATAAGTCGTCCGACCCTAAACTATATTGTAGCTATAATAGCTAGATTATAGGATATAACCGATCTAAAGATACCTAAAGTCTACAGCTAAGATTAACCTCTAAATATCTATTATTAATAGATCTAAGTCTTACGATCTAAAGGATAGTCTACTCTATATAGACTATAGAGATATTAGATATAAATCTACTAACTATAAGAATAATTGCCTACCTAGCTAGGAGAGAGTATACCTAAGATAAGCAGCCTTTAGTAGTAAGGTTACTTTATATATAGCTAACCTAATCGCGGGAGAGATCGTTCCTAAGTCTTTAGACTATAACTATAACTAGACCGTTTAGACCTTAGAGTTCGAGTATTATCCGGAAACTACTACTACTACCGGGTACCGCTAAATATTATATAAGGAGTTTATAAAGCTTTTAACCTTTAACTCTAAGGTCTATAGATTAAGTACCTTAACCCTAAATTCTAAGCTTAGTTTTTTAAAGAAGAGATAGCGAATCTTGATTAATAACCTTGTGAATTTAGATAATAATAAAGTAATAAACGATATCTAAACCGAAGATAAGAAGATAGAAGAGAAAGTTAAAAAGAAGGCTAAAAAGAAGGCTAATAAAAAGGGAGTTAAGGCTATTTATATACTACGTAAGATTATAGAACGTAAAGAACTAGGACTAGTTAACTACCGTACCTTAGCATAAGAATTTAGGTTCCCTTAGACCTTATTAAGTTCTTTTAGATCTTACTAGATAACGTAAAGGTATTCTATAAGCTTTCGACTTATAAGAATACTAAGAAGTCTATAGCTACTATAAAGCTAACTATATTATTAAAATTAGTTAGATTTACTAATAATACTACTATCCTCGAATCTATAATATAAAAGATTCCTATTATAGATATTAAGAAGAAAGCTTTTAATATTAATTACTTTATTAGAGTTTAAAAGAACGGTTAAACTATTAAAGTCTCTTTACCGACTTATATAGTATAAGTAGATTCTAGCTCTAACTTTAATATTATTTCTATAGCCCTAGTCAAGGAAATAAAACTTAAGTCTCGATCTCTATGTAAAAGATAATCTAGTAGTCTTATATAAATACCGCTAATAGTAGAGATACGGAATGAATGTATTTTATTTAACTTAAAGTTAGAACTTATAGAGTCTAGCGAAAGATTAAAGCTAATCTAGTTTAATATTCTCTCGTCTCGATATAGATTTATTCCTTGTCTCTCGGATCCCTAAAAGAGACTCTAGAAGGCTTTATATAGGTAGGAATATTAAACCTAACCTACTTACTATATTAGGTAAGGCGTAGACCTACTTACTATATTAGGTAAAAATAACTAGGTTAGTAGGAATACTAAGATTCCTCAAAACCTTAGCTCTTATACTAAAAACCCTTAGTAGATACTATACTAAATTAATTAAATTAATTTGATATAACGCTCTATAGTTATTAAATTTTCTAAATTAAAAGTATTTCTTATTCTATTTATTTTCTAATTAACTATATATTATATCCTCTTAAACCTAACTAGATACACCCTTCTAAATCTAACTATTCTTAATATCTACTATCTATAACTATCAGTATATTCTCTATATAGAACAACTAATAACCTAATAACTTTCCCTCATATAATACTATTCCCCCTAACTTAAATTACAAATAATAT